CTATCCAGGGCCCCGCTCACTGGATTCTTTGCGGCGAGAATTGATTTCCGTAGTTGCGATGACGTTCTGAGTCTTTTTCCACATACTGCACTCTTCGTAAATATTGCTTGGGCACACACATGTGAACAATATCGAAAAGGAGCGCCTTCCGCACGAACAGTAGTTCAGGCTGTCCTGTTTGGACCGGTCTCATACATGCCGAGGATGGCCGCGAACTATGTCTTCGATCCACGAACTCTGAACCCTGCAGATGCCGTGGACGACGGGCTAGCATGCGAGCCAGATCTTGAGCCGGACTGGGATGAGTGATGGACTCCAGTCTGCGCTGTGCACGCTCCGCATAGATAAAAACAATTGGAGCCTGCTGCCGGAGCGAAGAGCTGGGTCCCATACAGAACGAAGAGCTGGGTCCCATCCGTCAAGGCTCTAAACACCATATGCGTGCGGCCCCCAAATGAAGTGGTTCATGTGTTATTCTTCCATTTTCACTCTTCCCGTAAAAAGCGGGTATGAAAAAGTCTAAGTTGTCAGACTGGTTTTCAGGCGGATGTCACATGGATGTTCATAGCTGCCACGGCGCCCGTGCCTCATGCTTTTTCACACTGTTCCTGTCATGTCCTGAGTCGTTTCCCCTTCACAATGTCTTCTTTCTTGAGGGCAGGATCCGGGCTTGCAACCTGCTCATCGCAGATTTGGGGAGACCCATCGTGATATTTAAAGCCCACCAACATTGCACTTCGTCAACGTGGGTGAGTCCACCATAGATTATCGTAGGTCGTTGTAGGGAATGGCGCCCCTGGGCCCCTGATGATGGACTTGAAACGGTGTTGTGAGAAGAGATGAAAACGGAGATTCCAACCAGCGGCCCACACACAAGGCATTAGGCCTCATTGTTCATGCTTTCTCCAGCAGCTAGTTTGCTTTGAGTTGCTATGTCCTCAACGCAACTTCATTTGATGTGTGTGTGTGTGTCAAGACCTGGGGATGTTCCCAAAGCATCTAAAAGCACCCAACTCCATTCCTGTACCTGGATGTATTGGGACTGATCAGGCTCTGGTGCTCACAACGAGGAGAACGCTGCCGGATGAACTTACGACAGAGCTGTGAGATAGAGCTAGGAGCTGATGTGTCATCCTGCCGGATGCTGTAAAACGAAGAAGATTTTGCTACAGAAAAGCCTCTTTCTTTTGGTCTCCGGCTGCTTCGGAATGATTCCCCACCTACCAGTGGCCCTTGTTGAGCTCAAGATGCTATGGTGATATGGAGGACTTCCCTTAAGAAAGCAGACCTGCGCAAAGACCCTGCCTCGCTTGCGCAGCCAAGGATGTCAATCATTCTTGTGGCGCGCGCCTGTTTTTGGAATGCCCCCCTGGACATCTAGCTAACAGAGACTCCTGACGGGACCCCGACGCATTCTCATTGCTAACATGACACTCTACCCCATTTGGTGCTGGACTAACCGCCGCGTAGGCTCCGAGACCCTCGTCACTATGGGGTGTCCCTGGCGATCGCCGGATTGGTCGCATGTTGCCTGGGAGTGACTCCGGGGCGTCCAAAGACGTGAGGTGGCTTGCGCGGATACTTGTGCGACGTTCTCTGCAAAATGGATGCTGAGGTTCTTATATACGTCAGTCTTTTCCTTTTGCCCTGGCCCCTGCATGCGTGATTGCCACAGCCGCTGCGATCCCAGAGAAAATGGGCACGGACACTGGCAGCCACTCCGAAGCGCACCCACTGACCGCCAATCCAACGCGTAACCACCGGCAGTCAACGCATGCAGCCACTGGCAGCCATTCGAGCGCGCAGCCACTGGCAGCCACTTAAGTGCACAGCCACTTGCAGCCAATAAAGCAGCCACTTGCAGCCACTGGAGCAGCCGCTTGCGCAGCCACTTGAGCAGCCACTTGCGCAGCCACTTGCAGCCACTTGAGCAGCCACTTGCGCAGCCACTTGAGCAGCCACTTGCAGCCACTTGAGCGGCGGCAAGTGGCCGCAAGTGGCTGCAAGCGGCTGCTTTTTTGAAATTCAAAATGCGCTTCATTTGCACGCTCTCTGGCACTTTGGGCCTTTGGAGTGGGGGCCTACTTTTCGGGGAAAGGCGACGGTTCTTGAGCCTTTTGACCGCAGCTTCTTCGGCTCAAGTATATACCAGATCTAGTTACACCTTTTGCTAGCGATGAATCTTGTCCAAAAATCAATCTTTCTGGCGCCTCTAGAAAATGCATTGTTTGCTTACACCCGTCTGATTCAACTCACAATGGAACCCGTACAAGACCATTCCCCAGAGAGGCGTAAGATCACGAAGCTTTTGCTTCTCGTTTTTCTAGAATGTCTCGCATTTTCTAGGCATCTTCTTTTTCTGACCACAACCATTCACTAGACCAAAGAGAATGCCCTGTTCTAGTTAGAGAATGGTTCATCCAGGTGTTCCTTGAACTGTTAACGGGGATGTTCGATTAGGTTCACAAAATTCGAGACGTTCACCTTGACATTGGGGATGGCGAAGGTGAGGCAGTGAAGAAGGTGATAAGGTTGAGTGGAGCGCTGCACTGTTTCCTTTGGGCATGTCGGGGTTTGGAGCAAAAGGTTTGGACGCGAGCTCTGGGTCTGGGACGAAACTTCCAGATGCCCCAGCAAATAGAATTCCTCCATTGTTAAGACTGCTTTGCATGATGTTGAGGGCAAGGAGATCACCCCCAAAGAGAGTTTGGTCCAACCCATTTTGTGTTTTTGCGTTTTGGTCGTCTTCCTGAACACTGGCTGGTTGGGAATCCATGGAAGAGTGCAGCCTTTGGGGACTGGAGACTTTAGAGTGTTCCATTTTGCGCGTAGAACAAGTCTTTGATCACCCATGGCAAGATCAGAGTGTTTTGAGATGAGGCTGTCTTGAAGTCCAGGCTGGATGTCCCGACCTTCATGCCTGAGGCGGTGGAATCAAAGCTTAAAGCACGCGCCAAAATCTTTAACCGCAACAAGAAGATGCAATTAGGCTTGCTCGGGGGACCAGAGAAGCTTTAGGCCAGACAGCTGCCAAGGTTCCGGATGCGACATAGCATCGACTCACTCATGTTCCTTGCGCGAGCTGGTGTCCAGAGTGTATCCAGCACATGGCGAAGCCTGATACACGACGGCCGGGGGTGACAATGAGCCGTCGACAAGACAGATCTTGAGTAGATCTTGGGGTTTCTGGTAAAGGTTCGGCCTAGTCTTGGCTAGAACACTTGGATCAATCCCACCAGGTTTGGGAATCACTGTTCCTTGTCTGAGAACACCATTGACAGAGTGAGGAAGCTGGCAGGATGCTTCAACGAGGGTTTACAGGGCCTACAGCATAGTTGGGAATCAAGATTGGGTCTGATCATGCTGGGCCCCACGCAAGTTGTGCGTTCAACCGGTTCCAACCAAGAGCAACAACGAAGGTGAAACTAGGTGACATCTTTGCAACTACTTGGGCAAGGTCGAGGGTCAGGACACCTACATCTTGATGGATGGAACTCAATTCACGTTGAGAAAGCGCACAAGGACTGACCCAGAGTGGTCCAAGCACCTGCCCATCTAAGAGTTTTAACATCTTTTTGTGGGGGTACCGACAAACTTTGGCCGGATCACCACAAAGAGGGAACAGATGCGTTGCCAGCAGGGAGAAGTGAGATCCCACAAGAGGGTTCAGAGACAGAGCTGTCATGGCAAAGGTTCTTGAAAAGGAGGAGTTGTTTCCACAGCCTCATGTCATCCCAAGACCTCCCGAATACCATGTTGAGGCTCTTGAGGAGGACCCCCTGCCAGTTGCAAGAAGAGGAGGAAGATGGCGGCAATGACCACAAAATGTTTTTGGAGAGATGGAAAGCAGGCTCCAGAGGAGGATCCACCAAAAATAGTGGACAGAGAGTCGGAGAAAAGAGGTTTCGGATCACGGGCGACCGAGGGGAGATGGGGAGATGCAGCAGAAATGAGTTGCCCCACAACGCGATCAGTTTATGATTGGAGGAACCCCAGAATCTGCTCCGGGCCTGCCCCGGAACTTGCTGCTCCGGAACCTCCTCCGGAATTTGTCGCGGAACCTGCTTTGGAACTTGCTCCGGGACCTGCTCCGATTTGCTATGGCTATGGTTGAAGGCCCCTAAGCTCGCTATTGGGGGCAAATGTCCAGAAAGGCCGAAATCCAACGTTGTCGATCTAAAGGTCCTAGACAGCATTGTGTATGACGATGACCCGGAACATATCAAAATCTCATTTGGCAAAAATTTTTCTCGAGTTGGCGAAAGTAATTTTTTTGCGAAAGATCTGGCGAAAGATTAAATATGTACTTTTGTATGAATGTTCATTTGCTTCCTGAACAGCTGGTGGCAGTGACTCAGAAGTTAGATGAGCTGTGGAAGTTAGATAACCTGCTGCTGCTGCTGCGGCTACTACTACTACTACTACTACCACCACCACCACGACGACTACTACTACTCCTTCCTGCTTTGGGGGGTGGCTTTGCCACAAAACTCTACCCCGCAAAAGGCGAAAGTTTGGCGAAAGTTCAGCTCAAGATTGGCGAAAGTTCACCCTGCCACATCTGACCCCCAGCCCATTATGAGTAAATTTGAGTGACCGGCTACTACAGTGATTCCTGCAATTTTGATTCTTGCTGACACCCAGGAGAAACAAAAGAGACGTACAGGGTGTCAACAGTTAAGTAGAAGACACATGCTGACAAACAGTGAAGTTTCCATTTTGTATTTGCCAGTAAAGAAGAAGCCATTGACGTGAACAAAACACAACATACATGGCACGCATAAATACAACATACTTCGGCGAAAGATAAAACGCAGGAGGGCGAGAGTTTGGCTAAAGTAAGTTTTTTTCGAAAATGATGGATCCCGGATAAAGGAATTTAGATCAACTCCCAACTGTATATTTGGTTTTTGGTCTTGCTTGCTAGTTCAGGCGTTTTTGCGTCAATGGATTTGAACGTACGTGTCCACCCGTCCACTTTTCATCTCCCCTCGAATGAGGAACCTCCTTTTGGTGAGATCTTTGATCCTTCGAGCTTCGTGGTCCGATGGCCAATGCAGAGAGTGGGCATGGAGCTCAAAAGGTCAAAAGGTTCTGCCAAACAAGACTCTTGCTCAACCGCTCGGAGTTGCTGTAACATGTTGTATATACATTCGGTCAAAATGGGTCAAAAGGTTTGTTCACCCTACCTGAAAGACAGGGGCAGGACTGTGTCAGCATTATGTGCGCTGTTTTGTGTTACTGTGCGAGTATAGCTAGTGGCCACCAACAATCCTGAAGCCTTTAAGCCTTTTTTCTCACCAGGTAAATGCCATGAAACAAAGGCAGAATCCAATGTGCAAGAACGTGCATGCGGCCCGGTCAAGGCCATGAGCTGTTGGAAACTTTGAGGAAAGTGACCCCAGAGGCCTATGAGAAGATGACACTCGGCCAAGTTAGTGACTTGCCTTCGGGATGAAAATCGATCCTTTGAGTTCAGGAGTTTGGGTGGCGGTCAAGTTGTGACTACAGATGATGTTAGTTGAGGGATTTGATCTAGTTGCTTTCAAGTCACAATGTTCCCAGCAATCCGGGGCCTCAGGTGGCAGTTTTTCGCCTTGCCAAGGTGTCAAAAAATGTGTTTCATTCCCTTACGGGTAACCGTTACAGTGATCAAGCCGCATCAAGCCCAGACTTTCGAGCAACCGACTGTCAAGCCGAAAGACCCGAGACTGAAAGACTGGATGGAGGCTTGGCCGGGTGCGCAGCCAGCGATGCTGGCCTGGGCTCCAAGATTGTCGAAGGGCGATCGGTATGCATTAACTTATGCCTTGTGCTGTCGTTGGAACTGGATCTCCTGTCGAACAAGGGCGGAGAAGAAACACAGAATGTACTCATGATTTGCACAAGTCCATGCAGGTCCTGACAGTTTTGACCTTGGTCGCGAGCAACAATGAACAGAGATCAACCCAAGCCCCATGAAAATTGGAAGGGCCGGGATTGCGAATGTGCTTTGTAGGTATGTGTGGATACCTTCCGTGATGGACCACGAGCAAATCGACTCTTGGCAACTTAAAGATTCAATTATTGTTTGATTTCCATTGCGAAGATGTTGGCTTTCACTCGCATCAAGAACTTAAGGACATTCAGAAGGGCAAGCTGGATGGAGTTTGCCCTCTTTGGAAGACTCAAAATGCATTTATTGGGGTGATGAGACTTCTTCGCACTCGCCGGAGGGCTTCCCATTGGCCAAGCCTTGGGAAGGCTTTCCATGTACCTGACGAGGCAGGGCGCAAAGCTAGCAGGTTGGTCAGGCAGCCAATGGAGACGACATGTTTGGGAGTTGGCCACGCAAGATGCATTTGTAAGGACACCCTTTGTCATTTGGAAGCATTGGCTGGGCCGTCAAGAATCAACTGTGTGAAGAGGTAGGGGAAGCCGTGCAGCTTGATGAGCAGGCCCAGTGGCATGACTTTGGAAGTTCCGGATAGAAGTTGATTCTCATGTAGAACCATGGGAAAGACTATGATCATCATTGATCATTCGAGATTCATACTAAATGAAACCGCAGGTCATTATATGTATTCAATTTGTGGAACAGCAGGGTGTCTCTTCCAAAATCGTTCTTTTTTGTTCAATCATTTCAGCGTGGAACAAATGCCAGCCCTACAGAGCAATTTTAGGATGTCAAGCGTCCGTGTCCCAAATGCAAAGCAATGGAGGGGCTCGGACAGCGTACGCTTTCTCGACAGAGCTTTCACACGCTCAATGAACTCAACCTCAATCTGGGGCCAAAGCGGATGGCAACTCTTCACCTTGAAACTTCATCAGAGGAGCGCATACACTGGGTGCTTGCTGCCGCTCTATCTTGTACAAGCTTGGCTTTCTTGGTGATGATGATTGTTTTGGTCCCCTTTCCTCAAGATCTTTTCGTTCCCAACTACAGTCCTTCCCAGCTATCTCCCTATGACCATCTCAATATGGCAACGTCTGTGATAATGATGCAGATCACAGCTCCCTGGGCATCCTTGATGATTGTGCGCAGCCATTCCCATTGTCAGCGAGACATGATGATTCTTTTGGCCTTGATTTGGGTTGCTGAGATGATCCTAGCAGCAGCACACATTTTGCACTTCCAAGGCTTTGCGGTTGATTTGGATGTACCCGCGGTACTGGCCGGGATCCTAACAGTTGGACTGAAGCTAGAGGACATGTTGATACACCTCCTTATGGATTGCAAATCGGTGCTGTACATCGATTTTCGCATTGGTCACTTGCAGCGCCTCCTTCGATGGGAGTTCTATACAATCATTGTTCTGGTCGTGGTCACGTTGTGCGATGCAACCTTTGAGACCGGAATGGTGCTTCTGATCTTGGGAAGCATTCTGTCTTGGATCTTCCTGGCCGGAGGACTGTACTTCTGTGTTCAATTGGTTCATGAGCTTGGGGCCTTGGCTCGGGCGAGTGAGGAGACAAACATTTCAAATCAACTAGCGAAAATGTCTGAAGTCTTGAGGGCCATTTCCCAGGTTCGCTCATACAAGAGGATTGTTTCTCTTCACAGTGTGCTGAAATTCTTTGTTGTTTCGCATGTTTTACTTCTTCGAGGGTACATGTGGCCCTTCCCTACCAACCTCACGGAGATGGTGTATGAGAGTTGGGGGGTGGGCTTTGGCGTATTCCTTCTGATTGACTCGACTGCCGGCTCGATGTTGTGGTATCTTGGACTGATGGTTGGCGCTATGTATCTCAATGGGGTACAGTCGATACCAGCAACGCATGCAAGACATCAAGAAGAAAAACTGCGTGTGGAAAAAAGAACGCGGCAACAGAAGATCTACTGCACAGCCAAGGACCAAGGATAGCAGGAGAAGGTTGAAGATTTAGCCCAAAGGGCTGTTACTTTGGAGGCACTTCTGAAGTTCTACAAAGGCTTGGGGACAGACTACATGCTCAACTTCAACTCCAGCCACCACACCACAGACGATGTGGTACGGCAAGCGATCATTCCCTTGAGTGCTTCGGAAGAGTCGGATATGTCAAGGATTCTCGTCTTCAAAGAAAATGCGGTTTGTGAGTTTAGTGTCAACATATGCCAAAACACAGATAACACATTTCCGAAACAGAACACCCAATGGGAGACGGACGTACATACTCCGCCAGAGACGGATGACGGTTCGATCGGTGGCATGTATGTCGATCAATTGGTTCATTATTGACAGCAGATAGATATTTGACTGAACGCGTGCTTCACTCATGCTGCCTCAAGACACACCTGGTCATAGTCGTTCACATCCCTCATTCTGCTTTAATAAAAGAAGGGGGAAGTGGGGACACTAACGGTGCGGTCCCGTGAGGATTTTGATGAAGAATCGCCGGGTGCGACCCACTGCCATGGTGACCCACACATGGCATTCGCGCTTCCGGGACTTGGTGGCAGCCGTGGTGGCGGAAGCCTTGGAGGAGACCCATTTCGTAAGGATCGCTTTGCTGTTAGACAGCGATCTGACTTTGGTGAAGAGGTGCCACCTGGGTTTTGTGCGGGATAGGTTAAGATGAGGTGGTGCTTCATGGGCCTTGTTCACGCATGTTCACGCATTCATCATTCTGCGGGCCTAAGTGCTAGCAGGATAGTCACCTCAGACGGTTGGGCCGAAGGAGTCGAGAAAGAATAGTTGCGGAGAACAACCATAGCAGCACAGCTGAGCTTGCTGTACCAGTAGGGATGATAAGAACACACACCGGCGCACCACACGACTATGGCTGGATTCCAATCTACAAGACCAGCACAAAAGTATGGAAACTGCTCAGCAAAACCTTCGAGAAACCCAAATTTAGCCTCCTCACCCTGAGGTGGCTTTGCAAAGCTGAAGCTTTGCAGCGAACCTATTGGATTTGTGCCTTTTGTGTGAATCAGCATAGTAGCATTTGCTGCCCCACATTTGACCTCGTGGACTCGTACAGCAAAGAGGTGGTGCCAGCTTGCAGCTGTGACTGCCACAAGTATCTCAATACAGACCCTCCTTGCAGAGAAGATGTGGAGGAGCCCATGAGCATCAACTGTGAGATGAATAAGTTTTCTGACATGATTGCATGGCTTGCCGCAACAGACAGTTCCTTCAAGCAAGTCCTGGTGGTGGATTCTGAACTGGAGCTTTTCTCTCGGGCCTGGTGTGTAGCAGAGATTGCAGAAGCATACATGATGGGGATGAAGCAGCTGTTGAAAATTGACAGCGCTCTGACCCTGCAACATCGCACTGAAAAGCTCAAAGCTGTCCGCATAGAAGATATGAAGGCATCTAGACCTGAGGATGTCGAGCAAATTCTAAACCGAATCCCAAACAAAATTGAATTCAATTTACAACTTCAGAGATTGTTTGGCAAGCTCTTCGGAACGTTCTGGCATCTCCACCCATCTGAGAGACTGAAGATGACCTGCCGGGAAATCCGTTGGCAGCTCGCCTTGAAAGATGAGGAAGTAATGGATGTATCACTTGACCTAGAGAGCATTGATATCGAAGAGAAGCCAGCTTTGTGAAATGTGAGACATTAAAATTAATTGAAACTGTAAAACATTTGTGACACGAGCAGGCCTAGCTCGTGGCTTTTGTACAACTCCAAGCCTGGATCATGCCGCCTGACAAGATGGGCCGCAGATCCGACTGGCCAAATCCTACAAGAGATCAACTGGGATCAACTCATCCAAAGGATGATGTTTTTTGACTTTGCCAGTGTGACACTTTCAAAAGATGGGCATTTGCTTGGGAGTTTTCGTGCGACACACAGGGTGTTTGGTGCAAAGAAGCTGAAGTGATCCGTGAATGTGCGAAGGCACGCTTCCGTACGGACAGTCCTGAGTCCTGAGAGAGGAAAAGAGCTGAAAAGAGCTGTCGTTGAGTCAGCTGAGTTTGTGGGCTTTTAGGGTCCGGCGATGGCCTCCAACCCACTTGCGATGGCCTCCAACCCAATAGGAATGGCCTCCAACCTATTAGGAATGCCCTCCAGCCTAGAAGAGATGAGACTGGAAAGGAATACTGGTCGCATTCAAACCACTTCATAGATTCCAACGAATGAACGGCCTCGACTAGTCGCCGAGGCTTGGCTTTGGAGGCTGAGGAGGTGGCCAAGGCTTGCACCTCTGCACTTCTTCTGGAACCCAAGCTTCATGAGGCGTGACTCCGAGTCGCATGTGTTTGGTTTGGATGTTTTTGGGGGTATGGTCCACTCCTGGGGCGCGCCCGGTTGCCCGGTTTGCCCAGTTGCCCGGTTGAGCCTGTTTGCCCGGTGTCGTTTCGATGGGTAGGGCCCACGCGAGTCAATGCCTAGACCACCACCTGTCTCGGAGTCAAGTTCCTCCAAATGCATGTTCAGGACGCAAAACCCCCAAGCAACTTCAGGAGCATCAAACACTGCCAGAATAAGATGACAATCAAAAGAGTGCCGAGCACAATCAGGATTCGACCCAACCGACTGAGCTGCCCGCTGCCCCGAACGAATGCGGTTGCCACTTTCAATGTTGTACAACAGCAAGAGGTCTTCAATGTATGAAGACCCCCCTCCCACTCATCCCTTGCTTGAGGCGGCGATCGCCGTTCATATATATTCAGTGCACTAATATTTAAACTGCATCATAGAATTGCAACTGAATGAGCATAATACATCTTCAGGGTACATACGCATATGCACAACATGCACATTCAGAAAGTGACAGCGTGTTACATTCACACATGTCGACATGTTAAACAATTGAAGTAGACTTGTACATGAAATCAAATCTTTGCGGGAGATTTGATCGAATTTTTCGAAAATTTACGAAAATTCAAGAACAAGTGTTTGAACGCGTTCAGGCGCGTGGCACATTGTACGAATTGCGGGCCGCCTAGCATGGGCTTCAAGGTCGATGTCATGAACCGCTATTAGACTTTGTCTAACCGCAACCTTCAGAATCTATAAAGGCAAAATGGAGGGTGTGTACGGAAAGGGTGTCAGCAAGAACTGCTTCTACAAAGTTAGTACATCAAAAAGTGTCTGCTTTTCAATGGCCTAACCATCCTTGGGGTATATACCCAAACTCATTGGTTGTCGCCACAGCGATCACCATACTAACATGCACGAAGCTCTGCTAAGGGCAACCCAGCTAATCATCGACGGGAAGACAAAGGGCTGAGTGCAGAGAAGTAATGGATTCTGCTCGTGGTTGCTGCTGCTGTTTCTTCATACTTCATTGCTTGTTCACTGCTTGTTGGTTTCTATTGTTTTTGTTCTTGTCCTACTGATCTGCAAAAATTGTCGAGGCCTCGGATGCGCCAGCTGAACAACGTGCCCAACGTTGAAAGATCAGCAGAAACGCTTCACTGGACTTGACCTGAGAGGAAATTACGAGCCAGGAGATTCGCTTGTGGATAAGTGCATTGCAGCCTATGAGGCTGACAGGCTTACATATGCATCATATGCGTCTTGGGATTGCTGCGTGTCTCGCAAGCATGATCACCACCCGAGCAAAGCGAGACCCTGCCTTGAGCTTTGATGCCTCTGGGAGCTTGAAGATTGTAATGAAAGAGGTCGTTGAGCCATGTTGTGGAAGATGCCTCCGAAGAAGACGTCACAGGACCTTTTGGGCAAGGGGACGTCACTTGAGCCTGAGTGGAGAAAACTTATCCTTGCCTTGGAATATGCCTCCGAAGACCAGTTCATGTTGTGGATAGCTCGAGTTCCTTCTGCTTCGAATGTTGCCGATCACACCAGCAGGGGAACTTTAAAAGAGCTTGAATGGATGAAACCTTTCGGTTTTGTCACACCTGCATGCCCTCTAACTCACGGTCTCGTCAAGTCCAACCTAGATGCTGAAGCAGATGGGGGGAAATGAAAAGACCTACGCATGGCCTGGAAAAGCATCTGAAACATCCCCTGTCCGCCAGATGCCAAAAAAGAGAGACCGTGAGTTTAAGCCACACTGTGCAAATATGTAATGAATGATTTGTTTGTTTAAAAATTGTAAGCCCGTTATATGCGATAGCTGTATACATGGAATATGAAGGGACAAGGTTAAGTCATAAGACTGCGGTTAGACAAAGTCTAGTAGCGGTTTATGACATCGACCTTGAAGCCTATGCTAGGCGGCCCGTAATTCGTACAATGTGCCACGCGCCTGAACACGTTCAAAAACTTGTTTCTGAATTTTCGGAAATTGTCGAAACATTTTCGATCAAATCTCCAGAGAAGATTTGATTTCATGTACAAGTCTACTTCAATTGTTTAACATGTCGACATGTGTGAATGTAACACGCTGTCACTTTCTGACTGTGCATGTTGCGCGTATGCGTATGTACCCTGAAGATGTATTATGCTCATTCAGTTGCAATTCTATGACGTAGTTTAAGTATTAGTGCACTGAATATATGAACAGCGACCGCCGCCTCAAGCAAGGGATGGGTGGGAGGTGGTTTTCATACATTGAAGACCTGAATCTTTGTACCCGCGCACTTCGTTTTTATCACGCCGAACCCGGGTCTGGAAAAGCATGGAGCGAAATGCGTTCATTCCCAGCGCTGTGCTTCGAACTGAAACATCCCCTGTCCGCCAGATGCCAAAAAAGAGAGACCGTGAGTTTAAGCCACGCTGTGCAAATTTATAATCAATGGTTTGTATATATCATAAACCCGCTATATGCGATAGCTGTATACTTTGGATATGAAGGGACAAGGTTAAGTCATAAGGCAAAACTAAAAATTTCTGAGGCAAAACGAAGAGGGCGTGCAACCAGCGCAAGGAGCTGGATTGCCCTTCCTAGATCTTTTTTGGGTTTCGCAGAACCCATGCGAGACTTGTAGACGCTTTATGATTGTTTGGAAACACCTCTCGCTATTGTCCAAGGTTTGCGCTAAACTTGTTTACCTGTGGAGCAGTTCGCAGAAATGGTTGGTGTTCTCAGAATGCCTTGCGCAGGCAAGTTAGTCTGGGTACAACATTGGCTTTGCCCTTAAATTCGTTCGTTTTAGGACGTTGCCCAAAAATAGATAAATAATATCTTCTGTACTGAATTTTTTGTTCGAGACTGTGAGGTTTGTTGTGCTTCTTGAAGCCGATGCTATACCATGCTGACTAATTGCACCTTTTGTTCGGCTGGTAATACATTGTATACATGAAGATGGCAAGGCATAAGATCATAAGATCGTGGGTTGGACAAATATCGGTTGGTTTGGCCATATTTTTCTATGTATACTTGTATCTTGGGATAGGGAACCTTTTTTTTTGGGATGTATAGCAATGAATTGTGCAACTGTGTTATGGAATTGGTTGTGATGCGGTGAGTTGCCCGAATATGTTTCTTTCCCTGCACCATGTTTGTGTATGTAGTAGCCTCCAACCTGTTCAAACCAATTTTGTTGGACGGAAACGACGACGAGAAAGACTTGCTACACATGATGTATGGGGATATGCTGGTGAGAACGTGTTTAGATGTCAGGACTTTCTGCAGGAAGCTGTAGTCACATTGTAGGTTCCAGTGGTGCATACTTCGATGCTTCTCTATGTTTCGCTGAGTCTGGGAAAGCCCCCAATCATGCCCGACCACTTTCCAATGACAGAGTATAAAGGAGAGGTGTCGGTGCCCCAAGGTTAGGTGGGCGTTGCTTCAAGCTAAGCGGACGTCGCCAAAACGACCTCCCGGCCTCCCAGTCTGAAATTCCTTCGCAAGCTCCGCTTACCCCCCGTTGACATGGGATTGAGAGGCTTGAAGCATTGAAATCGATTAGCGTCATGTTTGCACCTGGGCGGCTGCATGTACTACTGCAGTCTTCATGTCCACTTTGTTTGAAAGGCCATGCTCATCCGCGGGCAAGCTCAACTTCGCCCGGGCCTTTCTTGCATCAGAAGCCCTGGAAAGTCTGGGGGTGCTGTGTTGTAGAATCTAACGTTTTAAGAAATGTTGCGAAAGGCGAAAGGTTCAATGATCGGAAAATACTGTCAAGTTGATCCTTGAATTTGACCAATATTGCCCTTCCCGGGCCCTTACCCAACCAAGTGGCCTGTCGTGCTGCCAAGAACTGGGCTTTTTCGCAGCTTGTGAGCTGGATTGCAGCGCAGCTTTGCAAGCCATCCCTGACAGTGCACAGCACCCAGTGAATGCCAGTGAAGGCTAAAGCCTTCAGATCAGAAAGTAGTTCAGTGTGCACAAGTCAGCGAATGCCACTCTCAAAGGGACGCACCTCCAATGATGCAAATCGTAACGCGGATCAACTCCAAATTAGGCAACGGCATGGGCAACTCGTGGGCGGGCTCGCTTGCTGCTTGCCTGTGCACCAATTACAGTTTGTTTGACAGCTGAGTGATGTTTGTTTTTGTAGTCAAGGGAGGGCAGTTGTTTATGAGCAAGGTGTGTGGCACCATACTTTTCACCGTCGACAGGATAAGATCCCTCCCAAGGCATCAGAAGTGTTATCGAGAAGCAGCGGACGACTGCCAACGAGCACTTTCACTGGATGCGTGTCTCTCAGAGCTCAGAGCCGTTTTCAGAGTCCGCTACTAGTAGCAAGGACGCTACTAGTAGCTAGGGTTTGGGTTCTTTAGCCCGCTCTGTGCCCCTACAGGCTAAGTTAGCTCCTATAACTGGACGCAGGACTAGGATAGCTCACGCTATTCATTGGGTGCTCAGACCATAGATCTGTTAGAACATCCATGAAAACCGGGCAATAGCGGAAGCAAGATATTGTGAGCGAGGATATTTACGACCTGTTGACCTGTTTTGAGTTTTGAGGCTGAATGCAGACTCGCCATGTCCAGCTTGGGTGCTGCATTGCTCAAGCTCGGTCCGTGCCATAATAAGCCGCAACCTTCTTTCCCCTGGAGCCTCAACTGCGCTACAGTTGAGGAGATCACCAAGCAGCACTGGAAAACTGCGACCGAGCTGTTGTGTACATGTGTGAGTCTTGGATGTAGAAGCTTCCCGTTCACCTTTCCTTTGCAAGACACCAATGTTGACCTTTTTTGTGTGTTTTTGGTGTCCAAATCCAAGGCTAGCCCTACGTGGGAACGACGCGGGGGAGGTGTGGAGCAAGTGTTTCTTTTTGGGGGGTTGACGACCTGAAAACTGGAATGAGTGCATTCAGGGTGGTGTTGGTGTTATGCTGTTTCCTTGACTTATATAATTTGTTTGATTGTCGGCGCATACAAATTAGGAGAAAAGAAGCAGCATGAAGGCGAAGAAGAAGCGGGGCAAGTCCAAGGAGACGCCCCTCACTTCCGAAGCGCATGCCATCTATGATCATCAACGTTTTGCCGTCAACCTGTCCGTGCAGGATAAACGAAAGAACAAAGTGGCCCGAAGCCCCAGACCTCAAGAAGGGGATCAAAAGTGGCCCACAGTCCCACAGTCGTAGGTTGACCGAGTTCAAGTGCTTCACACAGTGGTAGCCCAGTCCAAGGAACGAAAGAAGAGGCTCAGATTCACACATGTCATTGTCACTTAAGATTAGCGGCTTGGCCTGAGTGCCCCAGGCAGGAAAAGACTCAGCTGCCTGGCTTGCAAACAATTCAGTTCCTTCACGAAGCAGTCGAGATGCCATTCCAAAAGCTGAGGTCTGAGTCTGAATCGCAAACTGCGGGTTCTCCAGAGGAGGAGACCCAATCCCAAGAAGTGTTTAAAGATGTGTTCGGTTTCCCTTGCCAAGTGCTTCACCTACGAGATAGTAAGTCGTCGATTGGCCGCAACCTTGTCAGTAACCTACTAGCGATGGCCTCCAACCTACTAGCGATTGAAAGCCGGATCAGTTCCAGTGATCGGACCTCCTTGAGGAGCAGATGGATGAGCTTGAGGATGAGCTTGCGCTGGATGACCCCTCCGATCGTTTCTCAGATTTGTTTGATCCCCTATCCGAAGAAGAAACTGGGGCTGCATCCGATGAAGGCAGGGTGATGTTGCATGATTCTTCTAGGAAGCTATTACTGTTCGCTGTAAGTGCTTCTGTGCTTCTGCAAGCACCTGGCTTTCCAATGTGTTGTTGGACTCGATGCTTGCTAGGCGACTAGCTTGTGGTAGAGCAAAGTAAGCATTCGACCTACCAAGAGTATGCTTCTGGCAGGTGTACCTGATTCTGCTGTGGAAGCTGGAGATTCACCGGATGGAGATGGTCGCGACACTGAAGGTGTACCAGGTCCATCGATGAAACATCCAGCTGGGCGGGGCTGTGGCAGCATCATATTGCTTAGCTTTGCTTGGAGGGTGTGACCTTCAGAGTGGTGCTCTAACTTGCATTATTGCAATCAATATTGTCGGTATGACTGCATGTATATACACTTTATATATACAGACTACATGATGACGTGGGCCTCACTCACTTCCGGTTCCATTGCAGCAGGTGAGGATGAATTCAAGTTTGAAATTACAGATGGCACGTTTACCTTGACGCAGGCTTGGAGTGAACTCACACTGCCACTTCCCAGCCCCCTGATCTTGAAATCAGGCCCTAATATGGCATGTTTGCATGAAAAGGTCGATAGTTCATGGCTAATTATGCTCAGTGGCATGCAGTAGGCAGACTGCATATCAATGACTATGCCATGACTATGCAATGGAGAGGCGTTTTTTTCGTGATGTTTTTTTTCTTTTCGGATTCTGCTTTTGCTGCGTTTCTGCTTCTGCTGCGGTTTTGCTGTTGTTGCTTTTTTGCTTTTGCTTTTCTGCTTCTGCTGCTTTTTCTGCTTTTGCTGCTTTTCTGCTTCTGCTGCTTTTCTGCTTTTTGTGTTTTTGTTTTTCTGCTCTTTGCTTTTGTTGCTTTTCTGCTTTGGCAGCTGTTCTCCTTTCTCTTATTTTTTGCTTTTCCATTTTTGTGCTTTCTAACCTTTGGATCTGGTGTGCTACTGGGGGGGGCGCTGTGCCCCCCCAACCCCCCGCGCCACGAAATCTGCACTTCATCTCCGACACCCGCGCCTGCCACGAAATCAATATTTTAAGGTGAACTCCCCGGGGCATAAACTTCTAACCAATCATATATGCCTCCTGTGCTGGTTCTCTTTCTCTTTACTGTTTCTCTGCTAACGTAGGACTTTCTCTGACACCTACACTAATCAGCTAGCAATTAATATGAAACCTGCACTATTCCAATGTATTTGGCCAGCTAAGGACATGAAATTGCTGTAATTAGCTAGGTACTAATAAGAAAACTGCTCTATATAGTCCAATGTTTTTGAAAAGATCCCGAAAAGAATGAAACAACTCAAATTAAACGTGCACCCCTATGCAATGACTGCATTATGTAGCTTCATTTTTGCAATTTGCTCATTGGCGTGAATGCGTTTTCGACCATTCCAGGTGAAGGCGCCTCCCGAAGCGCAGGGCATGGACAGATCGGAAATTGAGGACTGCCGAGTGAAGAGAAACAGTTTCGGACTCAACCGACCGTTGGCTTCAACCGTTTCCAGACCCACCGAGTCGGGAGAATTCGAAGCGTGATGAAGCGTGTAGATTCGTAGATGATCCTGATGAGGAACTAGCTGAACTATATGCCATGCGGGCACAGGCGAAGGTTGCGCTTGGAGATCTAGTTGGAGTCACAGCAGATGCTGTCAGTGAATTGGAGAACCAAAGTTGCAAGCCATGTCCAGCCTAATGGCTCCGAGGAAGGCACCATTGCTGATTGCTCAGCAGCTTTGCGGTTGAATGACGCAGCCTTAGCAAGCTCTACAATTACAGGTTCGTACAGGTTCTGATTTTGAACAGATCGAGCGGAACCTAACCTCAAAAGTAGCATCGGTGGGCTGCTTTGCTTTTCGCGCTGCCCTTCCCAGGAAAAAGTTCCCTTTTGCCTGTGCCTCAGATTCCATGCCAGCTTGGCTATGCCTGTCATCCAACATCAAGGCTGGGCTGCTCGTGCAGAAGCGAAAAGGTTGCAGTGAGGATCCTAGATTTCCGTGGGCATTCGTTGCATAGCTCGAGGATTGTCCAACTGTCAGCCTTTGGGATCAGCCAATGATTTTGAAAATTATAAGCTTGCAAATTTGGTTGCTTTCCACAGCGCTTGCAGTTCAGCAACAGGGGCCTCCTGCCTCCTTTCACCTGAGTGAGATATTGCCAGATAATTTCCAGACAGCTTCATCATGCTTCACACATCTCCAGAGTGGTGTGGGCCCAGCTGGCCCTGTGGCCCTGTCGTTAACCGAGGGAGAAGTTGGAAGAAGCGGTGGCCGATGCCAGCGAGGCGAAAGTCAAGAGTTGAAGTCCTTCAATGTTCTGCCTGTTGAGTTGGTTTTAGAATGAGATCGGTTCTCATCCCAACTCGTACCAACTCATATAGCCCCTTTCCATGAACAACGTGTTTCAGGATTGTTTGGGCTCAAGCTGTTTCAAGGTTCACAGGTACCACAAGGGAAGAGGGATGAAGAGGGCGGTCAAGCTAAAAGATCAAGAACCCGCAGCTGGACCAGACCCCTTTTTGCGTCTCGTTTGTGAGAATCATGTCAGAGCCAGATGTGCTGAGGCATTGCGCCTTGATCCTTTGAATGTGCGAGGACCTCAGTTGCAATGGCGTAGGGAAGCCTGTTTGCTTGTTTTAGTTTCCAGATGGCACTGTGCTTTGTGTTTTGAGATGCTTTGTGATGTGGCCCTGTGATTGCATTCTGCCTTTGTCGCTTTTGGCGCCCTGGACTCGCTTTGAACTCAGCTTCATGAGGTCTGCATACATCACGCGAGCGAAAGCAAAGTTGCGAGGAGGTGAAGCACAATTTGTCAAGATCTTAACATGCCCACTTAGTCTCAAGGCGGCTGGAGTTTCATAACTCGTTGATGCTCGTTTGCTGCAAGCCCTCTTGTCATGAGGCAAGAAATTTCTAAAACTAGCTGGTGACAACCATTTTAGCCGGATGTTTGGCATGATCCTGCATGGCAAAGGTTGTCACCGACTGCAGCGAAGCACTGGCTCTAGATTTACATCAGGCTACTGCATGGTCCAGGGCCCAGTTTTGATCACGATGCTTTCACAGCGAGACAGCTAGATTGATCATCCTGTCGCGGGGTTGATATGTAAACAGTCATAAACATGCCGGTCGCTGTAGCTCGAGGGAATTCACCTGCCATTTTGGCTCAGCATTTGGGCTTGCCATCGGATCTCATCGCTCAAAGACATGGCGCGCCCTTCCAAGCTCCTGACCTTGTGCTTGGCGCTTTTGGTATGCTTGGCTCTTCATAGCGCCTTCATCAATGTTTCTTCACCTCTTCGAGGTGCACCTGATGCTATCGCCACGGCCGCCACGGCCGTGCCCACAGCCATCCTCCTGACTCCAAGCGCTGCCATGGCCGCCGATGGTGGGATGCCCTCGGTGGTCCTGGGCGTGGGCATGCTTTGTATGTTCGCCGCCTTCAGCGTTGTCTCGAGTGTGATCAGCGCCACCGTGACCTCCGAGCTTGACTGAGCGAATCCGAGAAGCCAGGTGTGAACCGGCATGTGAACTCCACTTTTCCCAACACGGAGCATCCCGCGCTATGAAAAGAACCGTGTGGCTTGAGACGTGGTAAGACGATGTAAGACGCATATCGCAATGGTGCCAAAGCATCAAAGATGACATTTGCACGCCTTGCATTTTACTGTACGTGAATCTATCATTAGTAGCTGCTGAAATTACTATATACTAGGAACAAGAAGCTACTAGTAACGAGGGCATCGCTACTAGGAGCAAGGACGCTACTAGTAGCTCCTGGCCTGGCCATACTACTAGTAACAAATATATAGTAACAAGAAGCTACTGTCGCGGCCGATTTGCCCAGGTCGACCCGAGCAGCCGCCAGGCCGAAGCTGTCCTTGGCCGAAGGGGCTTCACAATTCAGAGCACAAGGATGCGAAATGTGATAATGAGATATAATGAGCAGTTGTCGAAAGGAGTCCGGATGCTGCACTTCAGTCAAGAGAGGCGTTTGGCAACCTTCGGTGAAGGCTTGACCTTGATGATGTGGCTGGAGCAGTGAGCGATGCGAGAAGTGTGCGTCTCTCAAAAACGTGGCCCATGAACTGTATAAATTGATATATGCTGACCTAAAACTGGTGACGATTCTGCACCTTTCCGCTCAAGGAATGTGGTCTCTTCAGTCGGTCTCGGATCTTGCCAAGGTCCTTTCTGACTTGTCTGCTCGCAGTTCCTGCCCCCTCCATTGCTCATCTTCTTGCCTCCCCTGGTTTCTTTCAGGGGTCTCCCTTGGCATCTTGGTTGCGCTGCTGGGAGCGATCTACTTTTGGTTCTACTTGGGCCATCCTGCTCCTCTTGCTTCGTCCATCTCTCTACGCACTCAGGCTCAGGCTTCTCCCGGCTTGGATTTGCTGAGGCCATCGGCTTTAGAGAAGAGAGCAGGACTTGCTTCCTATAGAGGAGGTGAATGAGCACACCGGTCACAAAGGAGGACGTTGGACATTTGATTGAGGCTTTGAATAGATTGAGTGTAGCTTTGGAAAGGTCGTCCTTGGCATCCTCGACTTCATCCTCTACCTCCTCCAAGTCTTCTCCTGTGATTTCTATTGGGAGCTGGTTGAGGAAGAGACTCCGACTTTGTTGACTCCGACTTTGGTGAGACTCTCGCCTCTCGCTTTAGCATCAGCAAAGATCACGTCTGTGGTCGGAAATCCAAAGGATCGCATCGTTCGAGCTTGGAGAGCTGGTTTCTGGGCGTGGGCAGCGAACGCTACACACACCGAGTATACTCAGGCAGATCCCATCTCACTCTCTGACACTCATTGGATTGTGGTGAGGCATAGCCGCTTGGCTGGACCGATCAGAGTTCGAAAGATCTTAGAACTACGTTCTTTGTTGAGCTCTTCGAAGGCTGGTGCTGACGGTGTCATTTACCAGGGATTCCCATCCATCACAGAGATTCAGGTTTTCTGCTCTCGGGACGAGCGTGCCTCCGCTATATCAATGCAGCGGCATGAAGTGAGGTTTGCAGCAGGGCACAGTGACTATTCGCTCCTGGTGGTCACTTTGTCCCCTCACATTACAGGAGCAGTGACGGAACTATATGGGCTTCCTTTGTTGGGCAGAGAGGGGGGATTCCTTTTGTGCATCCCTCATGGTGTGATTTCTCCCAGCATGTTTGAGGACGTCGATGCAGCAGAGATGGCTCCCACCTGGCTGGGTGTAGGAGTTGCTTTGGAGGTCCCATTGGTCGAGGAAGCTGATGATGGAACCCCCGTGCCTTTCAATGCAGCTGGCATGGTGGATGTCATTGATGTGACCGATGACCTGCTCAATTTTGTGAGGCAGTACGACCCAGTTGTTGACTCTGACATCGAGGTCGTGCCGTACCATGATGAGCATCCAGGATGTATCCCTGATTTGCAAGCGTTGAACCAGCCGGTCGTGGCGTGGATTACTGAGAGACAGGAAGCTTCGTCGGGGTTTTACTCGGCTCAAGAAGACCCGGGCAGTGCTCCGAAAGCAAAGCAAGGTGCAAAGAAAGCAGCGCCCCCAAGAGGATTACCAATGCAGTTCTTCTCGAGCAGATGACCGCGCTTTCCTCTCAGGTTCAGCTATTGGCGGCAAGACGGACCTTCTCGAGCAGGGGAACGTTCCCACCTCTGCCATTCCTGCAGGAGGTCAGCAGACTGGCAAGACAAGCAAGTTGCCGGCAGTGTCCGGCGAGAGGCTGGCCCTCCATCTACAGTGGCAAAAAGTCTCGCTTTGGTGGGTCCACCTCCGAAAACAAAGATGTCTCAGATGCAGCTTCAGCGGGCTCTGGCCCCTCTTCCTCCAGAAGAACCCAACGCATTGCTTGTGGGAAATGGAGAGCCTTCACAAGGAGTCATAGTGAATGCCCTGGCTCAACAATCGACAGCGTTGACCTCACTAGTGGCTCACTTGGTGTCTCATTCAGGAGATCCTCTTGTGGACCTGCAGGCAGGTCTGGTCTACGAAAGGGGTCCAACGGAGAGAGAAACTGCAAGCAGATTTGGCAGCGAGGTCGGGAAACTGTTTCCTGCTGATGATGCAGCAAGTGCACAAGCGACTCCACCCAGGACGAGTCCTTCCAAAGACCGAGGCAGAGCTTGGGGCGGTCTCCTTCCTGGAGTATCTCGAAAAGGTTGGAGGCTATCGGAACCAGAAGACATTGGGGTTAGTTCAATGGATTCTTGCACATGCAATAGATGCTGCAGCACAAGGAGACATAGCGGGGGTCAAGGAGATCCTGGCTTGGCTTGCTATGGCAGTCGAACAAGCAAACTTCGACGGTGGCGATTGGGGTGTTGCTTATCTCATCAGCTTGATCGAGGAGCCGCCAATACAGTTGTTCCAAGAGAGGTCATTGAATGTCACAGCAACAGGAAGGACGTTCTCACCACTGATTCCGCCTTCATGGACAGCCACAACATTGAGCTATTTGAAGGACATGGAGATCCTTGCCAACAAGAAGCCCGAAGCAAAGGCAAAGGCTTCGGTTGTGAAGAAGGAGACAGATGGAGGAGGACAGACAGGCTCTCCGAAGAGAAAGCCCAGGTTTCCAAAGCGCCCGAAGGCGGCGCAGGGGACCTCTTCATGACCGAGCGAGATCATTGCATGCCGGGTGAGTTTCATGGTTCCCGATTGAATAGCTCACCTAGGACAGTTCGAATTCAGAAGAAGGGTGAGAACTATGACGTCTCCCCCGATAAGGTCCCGGAAGCAGAAGATGGTGGCCTCAAAGACTTTTTGTTCACGAAGGTGCCCAAGACCTTTACTTTTTGGAAGTGGTGTGCTGGCCTTCTACGAAATGTGTTGCGAACCAGAACTCCATTTTCAGCGTTTTTGAAGTCTTCTCTACATGTGCCTCGAGACGACTCAGTCTCGACTTCGTCGCTTTTCCCTGTTCCGGTCCCTGAGACTGGCCTTTTCAACAGGATGCCGGCATGTCTCTCTCTTCATGCTAGAAGACGTCTTCATCTCAAGCGAGTCCTTCATATTGCTGCGATGGCGTTGAATTATTGGCATGGAGGTTTGGGATCTTTCCCCAACGAGAGGCTCTTGTCGAGATGCCCTTCCTCTACTCATCGGAGCATCTACAAAAAGTTGATGGGCATTATAGCGGCCGACGGCCCAGATTCAGGGGTGTTCGAGACTCTTGCCTGTGGCCGAAAGTTTCCTCAATTAGTTGCACGTTTGGGAGAACTGTCTGAAAGCCTGGCAAAGCTTGGAGCCCAAGGGCCCTACAGCCGCATGTTTGGTTGTCATGAAGTCCCACTTCGAAATGAGGTCCTTCCAGAGCTGCAGCCATATGGGCTTGTCATTTTTTAAGGTGTCCAGTTTATGTAGGGCTGGGATGTTCGACTTAGGCGAAGCATACCCCGAAGCATACCCTGAAGCATACCATCTGGAAATGCTACTACTTTAGTCTTCACACTGCGCGAAGCATACCCCGAAGCATACCCCCGAAGCATACCTCCGAAGCATACCCCATAGTCAAACATCCCGGCCCGGGAACCTTAAAAAAATACAAACCCATATAGGCCTTTGAATGCTTACAGACTTTGTTTGGTGGGTACAGGTTTCTTTGATGCGACAGATCACCTTGATGATGGGCTACGCATGGCATACCGAATGCCTCAGCTGCTGAGAAATGGTTATATCCCACGGCAAGGGGAATATCCCAAAATCTCTGATGCACAGGATGAGATTGTTTGCTTGGCCTAATTATGGGACTCACGTGGGCTCCTTTTTTATCAGCAATGAGGCAGCCGACGAGTGGTCATTGACAAGGGCGTTCAACAACTTCAAAGACATTGACAATGATAGACAAATAGGTGATCGGCGGGGAATGAACTCGCAAGAAGGGAAGGTTCTTGGTCCATCGCGAAATCTCCCTGCCGGAAGCGATCTGGTCGATCTTGCACTACACCCGCGGACTGAATGCCTGAAAATATATGCCACAGATCGTCGTGACTTTTATCATCAATTTTGGGTGACTCCAGAAAAGGCTCGATGCAATGCTGTTGGTCCCAAGGTGCCTTTATCTTCTCTACATGGGCTTCATGCGGTTGATTGCTTCATCAGTCAAAACAAGGAGCGACCAAGAGCAAGCAGGGAGGATGGCGGAGACGGCCTACTTGATGGTGGGTCAGATGCATTCTTTACGCGTCCTTCTTTGCTGCTTGATAATGTGCATGTATGCTTCAAGTCGCTTTTCCAGGGAGACCATGTAGGAGTCGAGGTTGCAACAGCTGCGCACGAGAACCTTCTCAAGACTAGAGGCCTGTTGGCTGACAGTGATAGGATTATTGCAAATGTGCCTTTTCATGGAGGTCCAGTTTGTCAAGGCCTTGTGATTGATGATTTTTTCTGCATGTCATGTGAGAAGAGAGGGACGTCCGCCCAAGATAGCAGAGCTTTCAGACATTTCGCCTCTAGCCAGGAGGTCTATGAGGAGCACAAGATCATTGGATCCCCCCACAAAGATGTCCTTGGAGAGGAAAGAGCCAAGGTCATTGGAGCTGAGATCAACACATCCGACAGAGCAGCACGCAAGGGTGTCGCCACTGTTGGAGCTCCAATATGCAAACGGTTGGCTATGAGCTGGTTGACTCTTCAGCTATGTCAACTTAACCAGACTACAGATGTGCTGCACCTATGCGTTGTTGGAGCCTGGACATCTATAGCAATGTATAGACGACCGCTGATGAGCATCTTCACTGCAACTCACCGCCTTGTCGATGCAGCGTTGGTTGAAAGTGAGCATCCTCGTATAGTGCGCCTTCCACGTTCCGTAGCAGATGAGCTGACTGTCATGTCAGTCCTGGCATTGCTTGCAGTTGCAGACGTTGGTGCGCTTTTCGAGGGGCGAGTTTTTGCTACAGACGCCTCTGAGGAGAAGGGGGCGATTACATCAGCCAATGTCCCGATCACGGTAGTTGAAAAGCTGTGGAGGTCTCGCAAGACAAAAGGTGCTTATTCCAGGCTGAAAACTCAGTATGAGATTCTGCTTGATAGGCTTGGGATCAGAGATGAAGCAGCAGTTGATGATACAACTCAATATGACACATTGTCTTCCTTCCAGCCGGGCCCATCCAAGCAGTTGGCCTTCCAGTATGATTTCATTGAGGTCTACGCAGGATCAGCAAGAGTGTCACAAGCAGCTGCTCGGTTGGGCATGCGAGTTGGGCCTCCGGTCGACATTTCCTATAGTGGCGAGCTGAATATGACTTTGACTAGAGTCGTGGCATGGTTGAGCTATATGTTGGTCAGTGGAAACTTGGGCAGCATCATGGTGGAACCGGTTTGCGCTACTTTTTCTATCATGAGGAGGCCGGCTTTGAGGACAAGAGATGATCCTTATGGGCTGAGCCTTGAATGTCCAAAAACACTGACTGGTAATTTGCTGGCCTTGCGAGCGTTGTCTTTGCTGCACATTGCATGGCGCCTTTTTATTCCTGGGCTAATAGAGCAACCATGGACTTCGCTGATGCGTTTCCTACCTCCGTGGCAGGCGATTGCAAGCAAACCTCGGGTCAACACAGTTAGATCCGACTCCTGCGCTTTTGGGTCACCACACCAGAAGAGCTTCAGGTTCATGGCAGTGAACATGCATTTGACACATGTTCAAAAGAGATGCTCTAGGGACCACTCCCATGTGGTTGTTGAGGGGAAGTTCACCAAAGCCTCTGCCTCCTACACTGAAGAACTAGCTGCTCAGATAGCCCTATGCTTTTTCGAAGCGGTGAAAAGCCGTCAGAGGAGTATCCTTGAATATGACGACTACAAGACCGACGGCTTGGAGAATCAGCTGGTAAACTTCGTTGCAACTTCTGCTGACTGGAGGATGAAAGATGTTTGGTCTTTTTCGACCCCTCGGCATATAAACCTTTTGGAGATGAAGAGTCTTGTCAGATTGAGTGAAAAGCTTGCTCGTTCACCTTCAGCCCTTGAGTCGTCAACTTTGTGGACTCCAATGTTGTTCGATGTTCAGCTTCAAAAGGAAGGACTTCAAGCAGAGCCTTAGCTCCTTTTGTGAGAAAGTTTGGTGCCACCTGCGTGGCTGCTGGCATTTATTTTACACTGCCTTTCGTGCCTACCAGGTTGAATACAGCAGATGATCCTACCAGGGATCGTGAAGTACGACAGGCATGGAGCATTCCACGGCTCGGAGGCCTTTCAAACGAAGACATTCAGTGTCTGCGCTCGCTTCCAAAGCTTCGTCGCTGGGCCTCGAATTGGGTCAGGCTTGTCTGTGAACTTTATGGATTTCATGGACTTGAAGTCTTTTCTCAGACCGGCCGCCTTCATGGACTTGCGTGGCTCCCGGTGCCAAGGTCGTCATCTCTCCCAGCAGCTTATTCTCCTCCTGGCTCCACCATGGATTTCGATCGCACACTTGGATTTCCCGGCGAAGGCCATTTCTTCCTCTCTCCTTGTCGCCTCTCCTTCCCGTCTTCATGTCTTGTCCTGAGGTCTCTAGTTAGCTTGCAGCTTTTGGGGCGTAGCCATGGCATGATAGTACCTAGGACACCTGGGGACAGATCGCGCCAAGCCGCACGACTGTTGAGGCCTCCGCTGCCTTCAGGTAGACCTGTAACAGAGGCTACTGCTGGAAATCGTGACCGACTCCTTTTTGACCTGCTGAACTGGTGTGATTTTTGTGGCTTCAACCTGAGGTCCCTTCTTGAGAGACCACTGCAGCATGTCGAAAGGATAAACGAGATCCTCCAGCTGTATGGAAGAAGACTGTACGAAGCAGGACGTACTTATAATATTTATGTTGAATCTGTGAACAGTATTTCTTCATACAGGCCTGTTTTGAAGCGGCAACTTCAGCCTGCGTGGAACTTAGCTTTTGCGTGGGTACGTGAAGAAAGGCCACAGCACCATATAGCCATGCCTTGGCAAGTGCTGCTATAGGCTGGGGATGGATAGAGATGGCAGGACTTCTTGCTCTTGGATGGGGTTCTTTGTTGCGGACCAGTGAAATCACTGGAGCCGTCCGCAAGGACTTACTGTTGCCAATTGATACTCTGGGAACAAACAACTTCGCCCTTCTTTCACTTCTTGAGCCTAAAACTAGGTTTGTTGCTGCACGGCATCAGAGCGCAAAATTGGATATCCCAGATCTGCTCAAGCTGGTTGAAATCTCCTTTGCTGATCTAAAGCCGCATCAACCATTGTGGCCGTTCTCCACAGCTACAATTTAGACAACGCTCCAAGGACATCCTCCGTGCATTGTCGTTGCAAACCGGAGTCCTCCAGGGTCACAAGACCCTGGACGCTGGGTCGCTCAGACCTGGCGGAGCGACGTGGCAACTTCAATGTACCGAGGATTCGGAGTTTGTTAGACGGCGTGGAAGGTGGATCAATGCGAAAGTAATGGAGATATACATCCAGGAGATCGGATCTTTTCAGTTTTTAGCTTCGATGACACAAGAACAACGGGCTCGAGTGATACAGATGGCTGGCATGTTCCCTACCTTTTTTACAGAAGGCAATACAGTTGAAAAGAGAAAAGATTCCTTGCTGTGCGTGGTACCCACTGCTCATGAGGAGCGCAGAGCCTTGAGCTGATGTAGTGGTGGACGTTATGGGTGTTGAAAGTGGCCTGACGGCCAATGAAGCATGGCCTGTTGGCCACAACTTGTTGCACCCTGCAAGCGCAGAGAAGAAAAGGTGCTGGAGTTGAGAGTTTATATATAAAAAGGAAACTCTTGCGTCGCTGGTTGGATCTATGTCCATTCCTCCAAGCCCGAGGCAATTGCTTTGGACCCTGCCCGACTCTCTGGCTTCAGATGACTTCAGTTTTCGGGCTTCTTTGAAATTCGGTCACTCGCGAGTGGCTTGCATGCATCTTCAGGCGGATGCTGATGGTTGGTGTCTGAAACTTGGAGCCAAAGTATTCAAGAGTATCCCTTCCCTTCTTTCCCTGCACTAAGTATATATAGTGAGTTTACTGATTTGTTCCTTGGCTTGCGGCTAGCCAGTGGCAGACATGACATTGTTGCATAAATAGATGTCTTTCAACACTACCATTCTTGGTCAAACCTGCATTTGTTGCACGAATCCAGCCAGTGCCGTTTGCAGGTGCTTTAGGCGGCGCTTTGCTTGACAGTGGTGATGTGGTTGGGGCAGCAGAGGCATCTACAAAGGCAGCATGGAGCCAATGGAGTATACAGTATATAATACTCAATGCATGCACGGGACGCAACCAAACTGCACACTTCGTTTATCAGCCGTCGCGGGCTTGGGAATACTTAAAGTTTGTAGTACGTGCTTGGAACTTGTGGAAACATAATTTGTCCTGAATACACGTCATAAGCCCAAACGACTTGCTTCCAGACCATTGTTTTAGTTTTTGGATCCTCCGCCCATCTCAGTCCCGACGAGATATCTTTTTGCCTTCATTTTGGCTGCCTCGCCATGGAGACAACAAGGGCAGAGGAACACATCTTCTGCACCGCTGGCCAGACTTTGGATGCCTTGCCGGCAGTTCCCCCTCCATCGCTTCTTCTGATCCAGTTGCAGGTTGTGAGGTGCTGGAGGAGCCGGCCTATGGTCCCTAGACTGGCTGCGCCCGGTCTATTCCTTGCTTTGCCCTGAGTGCAAAATCAGGTGGCAGCGCCCAATCGAAGAGGCCACAAGCGTGGCGCGACCCGTCGGGGGGGGTGAAGCCTTTGGTGGCTGGGGCAACGGCCGCGCGTCACCGTCGCCAAAGAGCAAGCGGCACTGCAGCAAGGAGGCCCACGTTCTTGAGGGCAGATGGAGTGCGGATTGCCCCCAGGAGCGCGCTAGAAATATTACGTCCGGGATGTTGCCGCAACTGGACAGGCGCACGCTTCCCACAGTTGGCGGGCGGGAAGTCCGGCAAACGTATTGCTCTTCAGCACAGTCATTCTGGACAAGCCGCCGGAAAACATCAAGTGGGCCGAAAATCCGGAGTGAGCACTGCAAGCCGCTGGAAGCTGTACATGTTGGGTGCTGGCAGGCCTTAATCCTGATCCGGGGCCTCTTGTGCAACTTGCTCCGAGAACTGCTCTGGAACCTGCTTTGGAACTTGCTCCGGTATGTGCCCGGCAACCTGCTCCACTACCTGCCCCGATCTGCTCCGAAGACCCGCAGGAGAACAGCCACCAACACGCAAACATGGTCCAACATGAGTTTCCGCTGGCTACTTCCCAGTTTAGATTCGGATTTTCTGTTTCAAGACGCTTTACGAAAACAAGCAGCACACTTACCTAAACCCATGGTCCGGTGCGACTTGACTCTCCTCAAAGTCTCTGCCCAGCTCTGCCATGCCTCACTTGCATCATTCCAGGCCCTTGCGCTAGATGGCGACTGCGCACGAGCTTGGTGAGGACCTTTTTGTTCTTCAGCTTGGCCAACCGGGCGCTGTCGCGTTCCTGCACGCCAAGGTTTAACCGGGGCTGCGCCAGAGTTGACTTAAAAGACCTCGCTGGTGCCCAGTCGGACTTCAATGAAGCAATCGACCTTTGGCCGCGACTCGCTGCAAGTGCGGGTTGGGTGTGGCTTGCATGGGGCTCAAGCATGATGGCCGTTGAGCTGGATCATGTTCGGCTCTACTTTCTAGCGCTCATGGACCCAGTCTAGGCACAAGTTTTGCGCCGCGCGCAAGTCACAGTGTTGGTGCGTCAGTGTGTGGAACAAAGAGTTCCCCACTGCTGAGGGAAAGTTTTCTGGCCTTTGCGCACCGTCCCGTTCTGAGATTGGGCTCCAGCATCAACGCGCTTTATTACGTATTTTTGCTTTACCAATCCATTAATTTTCAACTTGCTAAGAGACCAGGGCCAATGCCAGGTGCCCATGTGCGCCTAAAGCAAGGAGACTTGGAAGGCGGGATCTCGCGCCAACAAGTTCAAGGGCTGAAGTAAGGTGGGTTGGGGATAAAGTTGCAAGTGACGCTTCTAGTTTTGTTTGCCGGTGTTAGGCCCTCTCTGTTTGCGTGGCTTGGAACAGAAGCCACTAGGTCGTGCAGAAACCTTCGGTTTACTCCTTCAATCCTCTTTGAGAGTTCAAGGCACAGATATGTCCGAGAAACTGCGCATAGTGGTACAAAAAGTAGAAAGAGATCCCCCTGTCCTCTATTCATGCTTTTGGATGCTTTTGGCTCATGGGCTTGAAGACAACACTGTGGATTCTGGCAGGCGCAGCTGCAGATTGTGAACAGGCGGCGCCCTGCAATGGCCAAGCGTGAAGTTCAAAGTGGTCCCAATGTTAAAGAGGGAGAGCGAGGGCAGCACGAAGAGTGCGCGCACAACGGCGCAGGACTTTGTCTATCAACCTTTGCCAATGTGAAAAGTGCGTTGAACTCGAGGCTTTGAAGATGGACCCTCGTTTGGTGGTGGCCATTTGCACGCAAGCGGACTTGAAGCGTATCAAGGAGGACCTCAAAGGCGAGGCTCTTTGAAAGACTGTCCTTTAAACAGCGGCCTTTCAACGTCTGCGTCTATTGCACGGAGCTTTAGACTTTAAGGTGCTGTCGTGGACGCCACCTTGGCACTGAAGCGGATTCCTCAAGTCAGCTGTCCGGCCACACCAGCATAGACCCCAAACAGTTTCAAAACAATTCGCTGGGACCGATATTAGTCAAAAACGTTTTTTTTGGTACGCCCTACCTTCTCCCCAGGAGCAAGAATGCTTTATCAATGATTTTTGTTGGCGTCGACATCGCTAATGTTTCGGTCATAAGAGAAGACGAGAAGAGCAGGACAAGAGGAGGACAAGACCCAGTCACACACCCCCGCGCGGCCAGTCAGTGTGTCCAGGGCTGGTCAGCGCGGCCAGAGGACAAGAGAAGGACAAGACCCGGCCACAGAGCCGGGGGCACGGCCAGTCAGTGTGGCCAGCCCTTTTTTGCAAGATAGAACCCCAACAGTAAACTGTCGGGGAACAAGAGGAGTAAAAGACCCGCACGGCCAAGACAAGGACAAGAGGAGGACAAGACCCGGACACAGAGCCGGCCCAGCCACAGAGTTCAGGGGCGCGGCCAGTGAGTGTGGCCAGCTCTTTCCCCCGAAAGCATTGCGAAGGGTTCTTCCGGAAAATCCTTTGAACACTGACACTTCGACACTTACACTTACACACTGACACTTTCACCACGTGGAAGTATGCAAGTGTAAGTATGCAAGTGATGAGTATGCAAGCGTGTAATGAGTATGCAAGCATGCAATGAGTATGGAAGCATGCAATGAGTATGCAAGCATGCAACAAGCGTGCAATGAGTAGGCAAGTGTGAGTATGGAAAACTACCACGGGAGATGTCCTAATGAGAAAACATTTCCCCACTTTATAAATTCTCTCTTTAAGGCGGAGGGTGGGGCGAACAGCGTCAATCGAAAAGGCAACCCTCTGCGGAGATCGTGCGTGTCGAGTGTGCGAAATGCAGGCGAGAGTGCGATTTGTCCGGTGCGCGCGCAACCCTCTGTGGAGATCCGGAGATCGTGCGTGTCGAGCGCGCGAAATGCAGGCGACAGTGCGATTTGCCCGGTGCGCGCGCAACCCTCTGCGGAGATCGTGCGTGTCGAGTGCGCGAAATGCAGGTGAGCGCGATTCTTAGAAGTGCTTAGTCTAATTTTTTGTAATTTTTTTTGTTGTTTGTGGGTTGCCGGTACATCACGAACGGTGCTCAAGCAAACACGTTGAAAAACGAGAAGACAAAATAACTCAAGGGCAGTGAAGTGTCCGTGGCCCCACAATGAAATATCTATCATGTGGGATTGCTGCCCAGTAAGAAGCTATACTCGAAGTAGACAGACACAATGTGAAAGTCTTGCCGCCAAGACTGGCTTATACCTGAGATGGAATGACACTGTCCTTTTTATCCGAGTGTAGCCAGTACTCAACACCCCTTGGGAACGAGAACCGTCATGTTGAAGAACGAGAATGGGAAACATCTTTCTTACATCCGGCAACCGCATCACTCCCAATCAGATCATTTTTCCCGCCCAATGTAGGCGACAGGTCGAAGGTTTTTCTCCCAAAGCTGCAGCTCCAATGACTGAAGCAGCCATACCGAAGCAGCCGTGGCCGAAGCAGCCATCACTCCAGCGAATCCCACACTTGGTCGTCATCTCTGCAGCGGGGTCCTCCTCCTCTTCTGGTTCTTCTTGGCCGCCATCTTCGCCATCATCAGGAGCGGTTGCCGCTGGCTTGGGCTTGGTCTTCGGCTTGGCCCTGGGGGGGCACCTCCCCTGCCTCTGCCCCTCCCCTTTGGTTTGGGCTGCGGCTTGGCCTTAGGGTCAGGACCGCCAGAGGCCCTGAGACGGCGTTTTCTTCAAGCCAACTGCTTCAGAGTAGGCGGCCGAGAACAAAGGAGAGTTGCATGTTCTCTTTCAACAGCTCCAGCAAGCGATTCTCCAAGCCACGCGAGCGCGCCTTGCGATGAAGCAGATTCCAACGTAGCCTGTGCGCGTGCGCAGGCATGCCCAACCGAATCTGGCGTCACTCGGTGTCATGTCTACACTATTTTCGCGTAATAGCAATGCGCAATTTCTTCGTAAAATGCAAGTGGCAAAGAATGGTAGCGCATGGGTTCGGGCTCGTTTGCTGCACGGTTGGACGCGCGATCGTCACCATCGTCGGTTGTTTTGCCGCCCACTGGCACCAAATGCTTTTTGCCGAGCATTTCGTTTTCTCCTGCCATTTGACGCGCCATTCTTCCGCCAACTTGGGCCACGCTACTCCAAGCAGCAGGTCGCCATTGATGCTGCCCTCAAATGCTTCCGGGCTCACACAGGCAAAGTCAATTTCTGGCTGCCGAGGACCAAGCAAGGGTGCCCGCGCTTCTGACGCGCCGCTTTCTGGAGGCAAGGCTGTCTTCAGTATAGGCAATCAGACGGCTATCCCATACCAAGTTGGGTTGTCTCCTTCATCGTCGTCCTCGTCCTGTTGTCCTTCTTCATCTTCATCTTCATCCTCAGCTGCTGCTGCTCCTTTCTTGTTCCCTTCTGCTTGCGCCTTCCTTCCAAGGTGCTAGAAGCTTGTTTTTGCTTTCCTGCTTGCCTCCATCCAAAATCCAACCCGATCTCACCCGGTTGGAGGGCACCGGGCCCATCCCCTCCAGATCTGGCGTCGAAATATGATTATTTATTCGTCTGATTGGGGAAAATTATCGTAAGCAAATCAATGCCTACAGTAAACTGGTCACATAGTTGTGTAAGGAGTAGTCAAATCGCCCTCTCCTTACACACTTCGGGGACGTCCCCAGAGTGCGGTGCGAGCAGCCAGAAAGTAGGCAAGAGCCTTGAATCAACAATCCGCTTACCGTAATTTCATTTCGTCCTCTTTTCGGCTGCTCCTTACGCACCTCGGGGACGTCCCCAAGCTACGGTGTGAGTAGGCAATTCGCCCTCTCCTTACACATCCCTTTTCCGCTATGCCGAGGCGCGGAAGGAGCAGTCAAAATTCTACCAGTGGTGTGGCCGGAGCAGCCAAGACCTACTAGGCCGAAGCAGCCTTCTTGCCACCGGCTGGGCCGAAGCAACCCTTTGAGCGCTTGGGCGAAGCAGCTTGACAAGGCGCTACTTGTAAGACTAACGAGGCAGCCTCCCTGGAGGTCGCACAGAACAGCTTCAGCCATGTCGCCCAAAAAGCCAGACTGAAGCCGTCACCACTTGAAGGTCGGGGTTTCTAAGCGCGAGAGACTCTGCAAAGAGCTTGCTGAAACTCATGCTTGGTGAATTCTGTCACCTTCAAGTTGCTCTTCAAGTTGACGGTCCTGCCAGGCAAGCCACAGGCGATACGAGTCACTGGGTAATGACAACTGTGGCTGAAACGAACAGTGGTCAGAACATCCAAGTGATCATCACTTCATCGTCTGTGTCAGCAGCAGCATTTGCCCACATCATTGCATGGCGTGCGCACTCCAGAACATCTTCCCAATCCTTTCCAAAGGCTTCTTTCAAAACTACATGGGCGCCATTGACCAGCCTTTGGAAATCTTCGCAGGATCGCTCGCTCTTCAGGCGTCTTTGGCACAAGGAGCTTCCATCATGGTAGGAGCGGGTCAAGATCCGAGGAATAGTACCCTAAATGGCTGCGGGCGCACTAGAAACAATTGGACATGAGATGAGTCATGAGAGTGGGAAAGGGTAGAACGTTTGGTCCAATGACTTCATGGCTTCTGCCACGCACCGTCATTTGGGCACCCTTTCGATCAGAGCAAGTGGCCTGTCCGTTTCGGATATTTTGGAGAAGATGTTCAAACTCAGCTTCTGAAGGAGCGAGCCTCTTTGATACGATGGTTGTTTTGCCAGCCACCGTTTGTGCCACAGCGGCTTGGTGATGCTTGTTGGCTGCGTGGCTCTTGAAATTACTGCGTTGGAGACCCGCCTCCGTTCTCACATTGGATATGGCAAAGCTAGTGGTGTGCCCTGCTGCACGGCAAGCTTGGCAACCGACACCCCAAGGTTTGCCTTGCACTTGCAGCCACGAGCCCTGGCTAGGATCGCTTGGAACTAAAAGAAATTCGTTCTGCCATTTCACATCTGAATCGAAGCGATCCCACTTTGCTTATAAGCCCTCTCGACAACGTCGGCGTCTGTCATTTGACCGAAGCAGCCTGTGGCCGTAGCAGCCACGTTCATCGCTGTGATGGCCCCGCACTGCAAACTTGAACCAGAAACGAGATTTGCAAATATCTTTGTCTTGCATGAAAATATCTTTGCCCCCTCTTAAAGCTGGCATATACGCTTTCTAATCTTATTTGTGATGGCTCTTCTGACATGGCGCTGTTCTGTGTATAGGGGATAACATGAGGATGGCATGAGGAGGGAGCCTATGATATGCCATCCTCTTGTGGTTTAGACCATTTCCATGCCATCTACCCCCGCACTAGAGAAATGTGAAACAAGTAGATGGCATACAATGCAAATAGAGCTCAAAAGCATTCAAAAGCATTGCCAGAAAATGCAAGAAATGTCAGCAAATGTCGCTTGATCCGTTTGGATCTTTGGATGTCGTTTTGTAAGAATGTGCACTGATTGATGGCATTTGGTGTCCGTCGCGTCTCAAGCTACCATGGACGATGATCAGCAGGGGGCAAACAGTAGGAACCGTAGTGCAGTGAACAATAGGTGAGATTTGTGTGTCTCTCTCTCTCTCTCTCGTTCTCTTTGAAACCACCCCGGCTTTTCAGGAACACATAGATGGCATTCTCGAACAACACATAGGTCCCGGCAAGAGGAATGCAATCCCCCATTTCCATCTACTTGTGTACAGCCAAAAATGCCATCCACTCGTGATCCCCTATAAACATATGTCTTATCACAAGTTTTCTGTGTGGTCAGAGCAGACTGTCCCATTAATTGTTTTGGTGAAATACATGCGACAATCGCAATGGCTTCAGTGTTTTGAAATAGCAGCCAGGATTTTGTTGAGTAATCGCCAGAACGAGAATGCAAAATAGAGTTAATGAACGCAGCACATAAAATGGGCAGAAACCTTCAACCTGATTTTTTTCACATTGAAAAAATTACAAAAAATTAGACTAAGCAGTTCTAAGGATTTGCCGGCTGTGCGCGCAACCCTCTGCGGAGATCGTGCGTGTCGAGTGCGCGAAATGCAGGCGAGAGTGCGATTTGCCGGCTG